GCCTCCATTGAAAATAAGAATGTCAAGCATACCAACCATGAAAAGAATAAGGGATGCTTTTGAAAGGTCTGGAAAACACATGGTTTTAAAGTCAGGGAAAAAGGTTTCTTGTGGCATATGCAAACAGAAATGACATAACAAGACAACTTGCACTTAAGTGCCAAGGCCTCCTAAAACTAATGTCACAAAGAAACAAAAGGTTATGCAAACACAAGAGTCAATGAATATGCAAGGGGGTTGGAGAGATGATGTTATGGGTGATATAGTTGATCCACAAGCTGAGGAAGTTGTGAGGGTAAACGAATTCGAGGAAGTGCTGAGGGTTAATGAAGGTGAGGAATTGGGCAGGGTTAATGAAGTTGTTGGGCATGTGTATAGTAGAGGTCAACCAAGCAAGAGGAAAAAGTCTAAGAGAATTATTAAACTAAAGCTTGCTAAAAGGGTTGAAGGTGAAGGTAGTAGTGTTGGATCACTAATAGAGTTGGATTAATTACAATTTAATTGTGTGTTTGTTATGTGGATTAAGTAATGTTATTAATGTGGTCGGAAACAAGGAAATTTATGCTTGTTATGTTAATCTATGTTATACTAATCTTAAGATTTGATATTTGGATTCGTGTATGTACTTACATTATGTATGATGTTCTTTATATTAGTGTGTATGGGGTACTTTAGTCATTACAAATATTTAAACAAGTAGCAGTAGTATAGTTATTTGAGATACGTAGGGCAATAATGTTAGTTTAGGGGTAGTTTAGTCATTTGAAGAAATTAATCCAATATGTGTATGTTATTTCAAGTAATTAATCAAGTAGGGGTATTTTAGTCAATCAAAGAAATTAACCGTTAGGGGTATTATTGTCATTTCAATTACTTAAACAAATAGGGTATTTTAATCATTAAAAGCGGGTAACCCATTAGGGGTATTTTAGTCATTTGTGTCAGGTGACCCTGAATGGGTGTTGTGGGAATTTAAGTTAGTACTTTTTATGTGACTTAACCCATTAGGGGTATCAAGTTTTCCATGTAATTATCCAAGTGGGCAAGCACAAAAACAACGAAAAAGAACTTTTCCATGGTTTTCCATTTCCGGGTTAAAGACAAGGACTTTGTAGTGGTCCTAAGAAGATGCCTCGTGTATTAGATTCTTCTATTTTGTCCCATGTCCCCAACATAAACATTAGGGCCCTTGTTTTGTTTGTTTAAAGGAGTTTGCCTTTGTCATGTGGTCTCAGGAAGAATATCAACAAAATCTGGGTATTAGTTAATCACATATATGATTGATGGTTTGTTTCTATACAGATTACATGCACATTCAGATCTACAACAACATATTTTAACTTAACCAACATTTCATTCATGGGTTTGTGTTACATCTCTACATCTATTAGACAAGTTAAAACATGATTTGTACCTACATCTTACTACATATGACTATCATCACCTGTGATTACCATTAAAAAACTGATCATCACAACAACATGATCACAAAAACACCAACAACGACCACCAACTACTACCACCAAAAACAAAAACAAGAAACAAAACGTCTTACTATTAAGGACAATAAACCAGATGCACATCATAACAAAATACAAACCCACGACATAAATTTTGTAACCTAAAGTTCTTAAGTCATTTTAAGAACTTGTAGGTTAACACCCCCACAACAACGACACCAAAAAGCCCACCAATCCATTTGACTTTGTTGCACTTGTTTTTACCCAAGACGATGTTGACATACGAGATGCTTGTAGTGAACATAAATGCTTCTTCAAATCAGCAACCATGTTAGAAATATCGAGTTGACCTGCCCTAACATCATCGACTTCATGGTTTAGGGCGTCCAAGACTCTAATGACGTTGTGTCGTAGTTCACGAAGGTCGAAGTTTGCAAAATCCCCCCGTACAAGCGACACCTCCAACTATGTCTGGAGCAGATTGATCGCCATGTCTTCATTGGTGACTCCGTTGGACACATTCTCAGCCATGTGCCGACTGTAGTTGGGTGACCAATTGTGATTTGGAGATGATCGTAAATGCATGGTGTAACGCCCGGGGTTTGGGGCTAAGCATTATTAGATGATGTAATGATGTAATAGTCTAGGTCAACTATTGTAACTCTTTTGAAGTAATAAAGATGAAATATTTGAATACTATGTGAATTATGTGTATTTGTGTGCTTATAATTTAATTATAAAGGTATAATTAATAAAGAATAAAAATAAGCATCAAAATTAAAGTGTGAGATAAGCCCGGTATCTTTACATAAAGTTGTAGAGTACGTTCCCGCCTACGCGTGGATATAAAGAACGTCGAAATCGGAGTTTGTATGCAAAAGATGCGACAGTTTTAAGAAAATTAGACAGTAAAACACTGCTTTTCTTTAATCGCGTAAAACCGAATCGATCCTTTGAGGTACTTATGCTTTGCCGACGGGATTTCCAAGAGCGTTTTTGGACTCAGGATATAGTCTAGTATTTGATTTCATACTCGAAATATTTTTAACGAAACTATTTACAAAAGTCACGAAAACGGACACCGCGAGCCGCTTAGACGCAAAACTTTAAGTGCGATTTCCCGGAGTTTCGTAACTCCTAAAATTAATCCGTTCGGGTTTCTGGAATCCTTGAATTACCCTCTTTCATAAGAAATTTTTGAAAATGCAATCCAACGTCAGGATCTCGATTCATCAATTTATAAGTGTTTTAGACAAGTTAAAAGATTAAACTACCTTGTGGGACCAACTAATTATGAGCACCAATTTCCAGCTCATTCTTTGCCCACGTGACAACAACCCTCTCCATTCCTTTCTTCTTCATCTTGAGTGCAAGCTTCCCCAATCAAGTACAAGCATGGTGATTGAAGCATGGGCTTCTCTTCCATTAGTGTATACCCTTACACTATAAATAGAGCCTCATATCACCTCCAAAAAAATCACACCTCAATCTTCAGCTTCTCTCCTCTCACTCTTGATCTCTATCTCCCTCTATATCACCTTGAAGATCATCACCCTAAACCACCTTGCTGCCTCACCAGAAAAATAGCTGCTGCCACCGCGATACACCACCTCCAGCCACCCCGTTTGTTCCTAGGTACTCCCAAGTCAGTGCTTAACATTTTTCATTCTTTGTGTTTTCCATTTCGACGAACGGTTTGAGCTCCACAAATCCATTTGTGCATGTGTGTGTTTTGGTGTCCAAGTTCGACGTGATAGGGGGTGATGCCTCCTGATCAAATTTAATGCACATATCTTGGCCAAACTTTGTTTCCAAATTAATTCTCCATACCCTATTTCGAAATTCTTAACATTTTTGGTCCTAATTCATTTAAACCTTCATTTATTTATTCACAAATGGTCCTTCCTTGGAAACCTCTTACAAATCAGATCCTAAACTTTAAACTATGATGTATATGTTCCATATTGGTCCCTCGTTTGGAAATTATATTTATAATTTAGTCCAACTAAGTTATTTAATTAACATAACGGACCCTATACATTGCTTTAATTACCAAACTACCCTCCAAATATTAATTATATTAATATTTCCTTAGGAAACTAAATTTTCTCGGAGATTCGTATTCACGGAAATACTACTCGACCTTCTCGCATCCATTCCAGAACACTAATCGTCTATCGAACGTTAAGGTGAGTGCATAGTTACTTTCATCTTACACATATAAATATATGAAGTATTTTATATAAATTACGTGCTACGTGTGCATATTATCTGTATACTTGCTATCTATGTTGGATGAACGATTTTATACATGTTTTAAATGATTTAAACTGTATATGTATTTTATATCTACAAAATGTGTTGGGTAAAACATGGGTAGATGTAATAGTTACTGTGTTACAAAATAAAATAATGAGAGGCCTCGTTATAGATGTTATTGATGATCCAGTCATCTAGCGGAGTATAGATGACGACCACAGACTATTCTAGACAGTCCAGTGGAACGCTAGCAGGCTCGCAACCTGTAGGTGTTTATTTGAACTGTGTGCTCACCAGCAGTACTCCATCCCCCACATGGTTGCCTTATTTGACATGAATTGCTGAGGAACCCCCGAAGCATGTGTTGTCACCCCGATGAAAGTCCTTAGACTAGATCCCTTGTGTTAGATGTTTTAGGGATGTAAAGTGAGGATAACGGGAAGGGGTAATCGGGTTGTTTGGTTGATGAAAATAATAAATATATTTATTGTGGGTTGAAAACCCTATGTGCTCACCAGGCTCCCAAGCCTGACCCACTCAGTTTCTTGTATTACAGGAAGTGGCGCATGAGCATAGATGTTTGGATGAGAGATAATGGATTATAGGCCTGTAAATACGAAATAAAGTAGTAAGGGTTATGTTGTACTGTTTATGCTTTTGATCTGTATCGAACATGACATCCCGAGTCTTTTAATGAAATACATTTCTTTGGAAATGCTTTTGATAAATCTTTATCATATTTTGTTTTGGGACAAATTCCGCAACACTTTTATTTAAAATGTTACTCTGATTTTCAAACAAGCATAAACAAAATCGGTCTTTTCTGGCCGTGAAAATGGGGATGTCACACATGGTTTTGCCGATTGGGATTGAAGTTAAGGGTGCAGTTAGGGTAACCAGGTGTCGAATTGTGCCATTTTAGGGCACAATCTTCTACTTTTATATGGAGGCGGGTGGAATAGTGCATACGTTCCCTCTACGTTTCACATTCTAGACGACATCGTTTGGGTCGTTGGGCCTAATTACGATTTTGCCATGTCATTGATGATGTGGCAGGGTAACCGGGTATAATAAGTAATAGAGACTAAATTGTTAGGTTTCCACACACTTTGTTCCCTCATAAAGCCATTTAAAAAGTTAAGTGACTAAAAAGATAAAGCCTAGAAAGTTCATAGGGCGTGTGTGTCATTTTCCCTAAGGAATATATACTAAATTTTGCACTTAATTTACTGTCAAATTAAAAGGGTTGTCCACACCGGACACCAAGTAGATCTGCCCTACTCATATGGGGAAGAAGGCCATGCTTTGTGATTCCATGCAGCTCATCACTTGTATTCTTCGCTTCTTCTTCATGTTCTCTACTTTCTGAAACTCTTCTTGCAGCTTTCTCTTTCTTACTTTTTCCATTGAATCCGTCACTCCACCATCTCCGATCTTTGAAGCTTTTTGAGAAACTTCCAACTTCCTCTCCATATGAATATGCAGATTCGTTGGCATTACTTGCTGGGATGTTGGTTCCACAACGCAGTCAACGCTTGACTGGTTCTCGGTCCATTCATCAACTGTATTTTTCCACGCTTTGATGAGTGTCCTTGCAATCTGGTCAACATTCTTCGATGCATGCTTTTTAAGAGGGTTGAAGGATTTTCCTATCTCAGTCGCCTCCAGAGTACTATTCACAGATAACTTCATTGAGTCAAGCTTCGTTACCAAGTCACACACAGATTCTGATTCAGATTGATCTCCACTCTTGTCAAGTATCTTCAGCTTCATCCTCAAGATCTCAACAACGTCTTGACTGTAATCCCTAGTTCCAAGACCGATATCTTTATTTTCAGGAGTTACTGGACCCTTTGGAATTGGGAACTGCGTTTCTGTATTCAACTTGAGTATCGTCGGCCTTTGCTGTTTGCAGGTGGGTACGAGTTGTTCCGTGGGTGGCACTGGCACAACCAATAGGGATTCCGATTCATTTGCGCTCTTATCAAGAATATCCTTCATCCTCAAATCATCGCCAATTATTTTTGTTTCTTCCGTCTGATTACTCATCTTGGGGCTATGTTTCTTACGATTATCACAACCAGTGCACATCATAAACTCACCGGAGAAGAGAGTCCGAACAATCTCGTGTCTTCTAGTGCGGGACTCCGTTGGGTGATCAGAGGCAGCCACCATGATCGCTCTTTTGATGATCTCAAATATATCTCCTTTTGTATTCCATAAGAAGTTCCTCCAATCCTCCGTCAATGCAGCAGATTTCAAATCCTCCATCAGATAATGTATCTTTCGAGAAAATCCTGATTTGGATGACACCCAGGAATCAAGAACGTGAATGGGAGCGACGCATGGAATAAAAAGGAAGTGTTTGTGTGTTGTGAGTGGGGTTTGTGTGCATATTTATTGCCTTAAATAGGATCGTTACTGACAACTATGCAGTCGTTTACTTAAGCATGAGGATGAGGCGGCGATGATTAGTAGTTAATATTCCTGAAGAGAATCTCCTAAAAGATCTGTCACTAGTCTCTACTTTAAACGGTTTTTTAGTAGTTTCCTTATTTGTTTTTAATAAATCTAAGATATCTATCACTCAAGCGATTTTGCGAGTTATTCGGCACGTCATGAAAATTTGTGGGCAAGAAATTAATTTGTATCGTTCTTCCCATAAATATATATATTTTTTTGTATTTTAATATATCAAAAGCCCTAGTTACACGAAACAAAGAAGAGAATTTTATTTATTTATTTATTTATTTATAGAATGGGAAGCAACTCCATTTCACCTATCTACCCACCCAATTCCCCTATATTTGATCCATTCGTAAGTTTGAAGAATTATAGAATCCGCAATGATTGCAGGGGAAGCACCAATTTTCCTGAAAGTTTTTCCATTTCATGCTATCCATATGTTCCAAAACGTGGCTCAAAAAATCATGTTGAGAATTTCTCTCTTCTTGGGACAATTCCCTCACGAGGCAGCAAAATCAATAAGACCACGTACAGAGTTGAATTGGTTATTGCTAAATCCGCACCATTTTAGAATCCAGTACCACGCCTCCTTGGAGAATCCACAATCAGCTAGAAGATGATTCGAAGATTCGTTACTTACCCCACATAAATGCCAATTTGGATTTTGGACTAATATACCCCTGAGACTAAGCGACCGCGCAACATGAATTATATCCATTACAGCCCTCCACACAAAACATTTCACTTTTAGGGGGATTAATTTTGACCAACATATTTTTTGTCCAACAACCTGATTAAGATTTGAATCTACCATTCTCCTCAGAATATTCACCAGATATGTGCCATCTTTGTTAAAATTAAAACGAAAACCAATGTTAGAAGAAGGATGAAACGCCATAGATCCAAACATGGAGTAGAAATCATGTAGTTTTGTCTTCTCTACATCATTGAAATTGTTTGATCTCCATTTCCATAGGAAGCTTGTGCTGCATATACGCTCCATGAATTGACATCTCTTTACTGTTTCTAGTTGGTAGAGATGAGGAAATCTGTTTTGCAATATATCTCTCCCACACCATTTGTCTTTCCAGAAAAGAATTTTGGTTGAATGGCTTGGAACCAGGGAAAATAGTTCATCCGGATCAATGTTGTGATTTTGTAGACTCTTGATTGCTTTTGAAATATTACTCCACACCCCAATGTATATATTTTATTATTTTGTTAATTCATATAACATTTTTATTCGTTTAATATCTAACAACCATTTTTATCATTGAGTAGCATTTTTGTTACATAAGTAACATTTTACATATTTGATAGAAAATGAAAAAATTGTTAAATAATATGATTTCATAAATAAAAGAAAGAGTAAATTATAAAAATGGTATATGTGATTTGGTGTATTTGTAGGTTCAGTCGATCCTTTGAAAAGTTTATAGGTTACGTCCATATATTTATGTTTTCAAAGAGTTGTACTGAGTGGCGGATATAGTATGTAGCACGGGGTAGCACATGTTACCCTTCAAAATTTTCTCGTCAAATGTAAATTTAGTAAAAATTCGTCGAAATCCGTCACAAATTCCTCAAAAATTTGTCACAAATCTGCTGGAAATCTGTTACAAATCCGTCACAAACTCTAATGAGTGTGAATTTAGTGTAAATTCGTCAGCTTAGTGACGATTTGGTGACTGAAATTGTGACATCCCCATTTTCACGGCCCGAAAAGACTTTTTCTTTATTCTTATTTTAAAAAATAGTATTCTTTTTAAATGCAGAATTTTGTCTTATAAAAAGTATTTCCAAAGAAACGTTTTTCATTGATTCTTAAAACCTTGTGATGCCATAACCGATACAGAAACATAAACATAAACTAGCTTGTACATGCCTTACATCAAATTATTTAATGGCCTAAATCTCTCGACAAATTCAAAAATCAATATATCCTTGAATCTTTGTGTCTTTACCTGTGATATAAAGAAACTGAGTGAGTCAAGTTTCGGAGTCTGGTGAGCACATAGGGTTTTCAAGCCACAATATTATAATTAATTTGTTTTAATTATATATTTCGCATCAAACAAATAATCAGATTAGCCATTCCTGTTATTCTCACTTCCTGATCCTAAAGTGATGATCTCGTGACACTTATCCTAAGGATCACTGAGTAGACCATACCGCTTCGGGCATTCATTAATATCTACAGGTTGTATACCTTCCCATGTGTGGTTCATTTATCACCTACAGGTCAAAGACATGCATGTGATAGTCCGTCTAACCTCTACAGGTTGAAGAACTGCCCATGTTTGGTTAATTAACACCTACAAGTTGTAAACCTTCCTGTGTATTACTTATAAACACCTACAGGTTGCAAGACTGACCATGTTTCACTAGACTTGTCTAGAATAGTTTGTGGTCCTCCTCAATACCCTACTAGATGACTACATCGCTAGTATAATAGTGAAAGATCTAGTATGCTCAAGAATCATATTAAAGTGATATTGCTAATTAACATATGATACTAATGGATCACACTAACAACAACTTGATATAAATGATTATTTATTAGAAATTGATTTTAATAAATATTCAATAAACTCTTATAATTAAATTGGAAATTATTTATTTCAAGGAAATAATAATTTTCATTAGCAAGTAACATAATATATATCATATGGTATGATTTATTAAGTCATGTACATCTTTTTGGACTAGACATTTTTTTTTCTTTTAGCTAAAAGTTAATGTTTATAAAATATAAAAGGGTTTGTAGTTTTTATAAACTTTGGTCTTGCTTTTTTCTTCCATATGGCCAAAATCTTCTTGGAAGATATAGGAATGGGTCTTTGATTATTATAATGTAAAGAACACTCCTCTTAAAAGTAAGCTTGGACCACATGATTAAGCATGGGTGATTCTAGGATATGTAGGTCTTAAAGGTTCAGAACTAATGGTTAAAGATGGCATGTTAAAAGGCTTTCATGCATTTCTTTTGTTCTTGTCCTAAAACCGTGAGATGCTCACACATGGAGACTTTCTCCATTTTGTTCCTTCTTTTGAAGACTACTTGCTTATTCTTAGGCTCTTTTGAAGTTCATATTGGTTATGAACTTCAAGCTTAAGAGATTAAGAGTTTTCTTACAAGACTAGCATCTTAAATCAAGTTGACAATTTGTTGGTGTCTCTTAAGTTCATCATTCTTCATCAACTTCCAAGCCTCTTAAGAGGATCTAAAGAACTACAAAGGTTGTTATTTGTTCTTCTTCTTCTTTGGTTGTGTTTTTTTGCTTCCAAACTTTGCAAGATGATCATTGGTGGGTTTAACTTGTTTATGTTATTCAAAATATGATCAAGTCTTCCATTGCCAAATTTTATATTTTTAAAACTAGTTCTCGGACAAGAAATCCCAACAAATAGTACTATAAAAGTTACGACCTCCCATATTTATTTTCATCTCTCATCACCCATCTCTACCCAATATAATATAAGTATGAAAATACATATAGCATTTAATTATATAAATACTTCATATCTATGTGTAAGATGAAAGTAACTATGCGCTCACTTGTTAAAAGTGCATGAATGGTGATTTAGGTAGCTCTTCGCCTAACACCTTAGCTTTTCCTTTGATATGACCTAGGTATTCACATCACTAAGTCTTAGTCTTATATCCCTGTGACTAATGATGGTATAGATTCCTCGCTATATAGAATATACTGTGTGGAAATCCCACTTTAAACACCTTATTAGATCTAGCCTAGATATAACTCATGTAAGTAGATTAGTAAATATTATGACTAGGAATCACAAATAAATCTTATTTATAGATTCATAATAATAGTTATGAATATAAATATAAGTTACACATGAAATCTTTATGGTGTCATGTCATCACAATAGGTAAATTCCTAAAATCTTTGAACGTCCATAACTTTTGCATACGAGCACCGTTTTCGACGTTCTTTATATCCTTGGAATCCCCTCGACGAGCTCTACAACTTTCATTAAGGTCTCAATAGCTAACTATTACTCCATTTTAAATTCATATTTTTATAGAGATTAGGCTATTAAAGTCCGTGCGAAAGCCATAAATCTTTCATACGAACTCCACTCTCGAATGTATTTCTACCCACATGTTTATATTTACGAGATCTTCAACTCTCGTTTAGATTGTTTTGGCTAACACTCAACCGATCCAAATTTCGATTTCCGTGTCACACAATACTATAGTGAAACTTTGAAGAATCGTAATTTCCTCATACGATGTCAGATTTAGGCGTTCTTTATATGCACACTCTCGCTTTCACGATTGCTACAGCTTTCGTTTAGATTACTTAGGCTAATAAGCAACCTATCTCCAATTCACTTTTTATGATGCTCATAGTTGTGTTGGGTTGATCGCGAAACTGATGGGTTATTAGTGTTACATCTACAATGCCTTAAGCAGAAAATAATTAAACAATTCAATTGATTAGGGTACATGCAACCTAGTTGGATCCATGTCTTTCACATACAGCAACATACTATGAATACTAACCTCCAAAACTTTCCTATGAAAAAGTATATCATAAGACAAGAAAAACTAACCTTGAAGATTGTTTTAACAAACAATCTTGAATTCCTCCTTGAAAAACTCTTCGAAGCAAGCACCACAAGTGTCGTGCGTCTAATGGTTCACACCCAAACCCTAGCGACCAAGGAGCTTGAAGGAGAGAGGAGAAAGGTGGAAATTTTGGCCCTAAGCCTCTAAAGGAATGTCATGGCCGAAATTCTAAGGCTAAGGGTCTTTTTATAGATGAGGTAGCTTGGTG